TTTAGATAGATAAAACAAGGATATCCTGGTTGAAATGGGAGTGGAGGCTCAGACCCCTTTAATACTCACCATCACTAGCCCTCAGACCCCAGAAACATCTCTGTCCAACCCTAGAGATCTGCAGGAAGTGGTTTGAATCCACTGCTCAAGACATTCTTAATTTTATTATTGGATTAAGCGAAGCCACCAGAGAGATACACAGTTGAACAGCAATTAAGGCCCTTACAGAATTAATTCTCTGAAAGTACTTAATCAAATGTACTCAAATTGTATTGAGGTAACTTATTTTAAAATTAAATGAAACTTAAGAAGTAACTCAAAGACCTGTGCTACCTAGAATCATATTTAGTAGAGTGGCCAAAAGGGGAGACTTTGGAGCTAGGCTACCCGGGTTTGAATCCCAGCTCTGCCATTTATTAATTTTGTGATCTGATGCAAGTTACTTAACCTCTTCATGCCATTGCTTCCTCATCTGTAAAAGGGAGATGAAGACAATAATATTACCAACTCAGAGAATGCTGGGAGAAATTAATGAATTTAAGCAATTTGAAGAAAGCTATTTATTATTTATAAAGAGCCATGGAAAATCCTTTCCTTTAGTCCTCAGTATTAAGAAAATTGGTCAAGCACAGTGGTTCACCCCTGTAATCCTAGCATTTTAGGAAGCTGAGGCAGGCGGATTGCTTGAGCTCACGAGTTCAATATATGGTGAAACACTGTTTCTACAAAAAATACAAAAATCAGCCAGGTGTGGTGGCATGCACATGTAGTCCCAGCTAGCTGGAGGGCTGAGGCAGAAGAATCACTTCAACCTGGGAGGTCAAGGCTGCAGTGAGACAGGATCGCACCACAGCACTCCAGCCTGAGTGGAAAGGTGAGACCCTGTCTAAAAAAAAAAAAAAAAAAAGAAAAGAAAAGAAAAGAAAAAAAAATTTATCTATACTCTGAAAAATGAATTATCTTTATTATGAAAACATTGTAAATTCTTCTTTAGTGTGGTAAAATGTAAGGATAGGTCTCCACTTCTCCTTCAGGACCCATGGGAAGCACAACTAGTCAATCTTTCCCACTGAAAACATGCAAAGCCTCAGAATTTTTTGCAACAGAGATCTCCAGGTAGTTACTATTAAGAAATCAAAGTTGGCATATAAGTACAACCTACTACTCTCCCATGGCTAGAAGTACTCTTTCCTTTCCAGTAATCCACCCTGTATTCTACATGGGAGAAACAACAAGACCAAGGAAATGAATACAGACGAATACTAAGCATATTCACGAAATAGCAGATATTTAAGAAGTCAATGTAAGCTTTTATTTATCAAACACTAACATTGATAAATATTGATTCCAAACGATTTAAATTTGTTTTAAATCTTAAAACATTTTTCTATTATAAACATTTTAAAATATTAACTATTAATAATATGTATTTCATAGTAGCCCTTTGAAGTAGATACTATTATCCTTGCGTTACAGATAAGAAAACTGGGACAAAGAGAAGTTAACAAGATGCTTAAGACCACACAGCTAGTAAATGCTAACCCAGGCAGTCCAGCTGCAGAGGCCAACTTTCAACAACCCTGTGACGGTGCTTCTCTTTCAGGGTAAGAAAGAGACAATGTCAGAGCCAGGCTTTAGGGGGATTAATCTGCTAGGAGGAAGAAGTATGAACAAGGAGAGTGAACAACATAATTACTATTATGCGTTAAACACTTACTATATGTTAGGCACTGTACTGAGTATTTTACACATGTTCTTTCATTTACTTCTCACAATTCTTTAAGATCAACATAATTATTATTTCCATTTTAAAGATAAAGTAACTAAATAGCAAAGAGATTAAGCAGTGGCACCAGATAGTAAGTGGCAGAGCTAGGACTCAAACCCAGTTCTACCTAACTTCAAACTCACATTCTTAACTACTCACAAGATATGACTTTAAGTGACATATGTGAAAACTAACAGGAATGAAGTAAAACCAGTGCAGGACATATTGTGAAGAAGAAACCCATGAAGTTTAGCAACTGTTTCAGTATGTCAGAGAAACGGGAGGAGTCAGAGATGACTAAGGTTTGAAGGGTAACTTGAAGAAGCGACACTTCAAAGAAATAGGGAAGTCAGAAAGAGCCCAGCCTCTGAGAAAAAGATTTGTTCATACTTATACAACACACATTTCTAAGCAGGGAAATAGTGCATGGAGAAGAGAGCTACCATTTTCACGTGAGTTTATGCCACACATCCATCCAGGTTCTCCAACCCCCAGGGTCTGGACTAGAACTCCTGGTTCTTGCCTGCCTGAACAGATTTTTCTGACTTCCTCTACTATTTGAACAACCTGCATGATTTTAAAAGTTAAGTCAGAAAAAAGAATTAAAGAGAGTGATTTAAAAGGGGGTGGACTTTTTTCTCTAGGAGTTTCTGGTCTGTGCATAATTCTAAAGCAACCAACACATGTCTCTGCACAACAGCCAGCAGCATTTTGGCACAAGATATTCAGGGATTGTCATAACAGGCAATGCTAACCAACTTAGCAGAAATAAGAATTTAACATTTTTGTGAAAACTGCTGCTTCTTCCACACCCACAATGACCACCAAAAGGTAATGAGGGGAGTTTCTCTGAGAAGAAAACTCACGATTTGTGGTTAAACATCAGGTTTCTGCCATTAATTAGTTGTGTGACCTAAGCAAGTAACTGGATTTTTCTGTGCTTATGTAGTTCCCTCCTATATTAACTGAGAGGGTTGGCTATATTCAATTTAACCCAGATTTAACTAACATTTACTTAGCCAATGCTAGGATTCTTTTTAACTCTTTATACTCCATTATTCAAACTGATAGAAAGAAGGGGCAACAGGTCTTGAGCCTAAATAGATTAGAGCTGAAAGCAGTGCTATAGTTCATTTCATGAAATTCTCTTAGTTTATAAACCAAGAAAGTGAGGCCCAGAATTTTGATTCACTGCAGATAAAAAGCTAGTTAGCAACCAAGTCCAATCTAGAATGAGCCCTGATTTGCCTTCTTGGGGTCTTCCCGCTATACCACAGTGTCGTTTCTACCCAGCTAGTTTAGCAGTGTTTGTCTTAGAACAACTCAGAATGAGTTACAAAAGAAAAAAACACAAAGCCTGGCTGATCTGAGAGAGACTTATGTGCTGGATTTAAGTTCTTATAAAATCCCATAACACTTCAACTGCAACATAAAAGTATCAGGCTATGTTACATGCTATTTATAGCAAAGTATAATGGCTAAAGCCTCAGATAGAACTTCTGTTCTTACTGCCTTAGACACAGCCTAACTTCCAAAAGGTCACTCTGAAGTTGTGACTCCTGAGACAACAAGAGAGGTGATGGCGTCCTCCCCACCTGGGGAGTGCACCTGGCCAAGTCTGCATTTGGTGCCCACTTTGACTTTGGCATGGAGGAGCAAAGGAGGAAAAAGATGTTCAGAGCTAGGTAGACAGGAAAGAAGGTGGGTGAGGGAGGGTGCCAGCCAAGTCCTTCAGCAGCATTGCAGGTCTCCATCTTTAATTCTCCATCTCTTTACTGATAGCTCTAAGAAGCATACAGAAATAGAGGAACAGCAAATATAAAATTCAAAAACAGAAATTCTAGTGAGAGTTGGCTTGGCACTGCCATAGGAACTCTAGGCAGAAGTACACACTGCATACTCCAAGAGCTGGCTCTGCTCACAACTTCCATGCTGAGCTGTGAGGTTTAATAAGACTACCTGGTCAATGCCTTAGGTTCCTTAGACACAGGCATCAAATAAACTCAGAAAGACTAATAAATAGAGATAATTCATTGTTTTAATAGATAAGACTCTTTTTTCCTTCTAAATAGAAGTAAAAATGAAAAAGATAAATTTAACCACATTTTTCCTTTGAGGCAAAACAATCTGAACCATAAAATAGCTGCCTACTCTGAACACAAAGGAGAGTATCTCCTCTGACCCTTGTATGTCAAGTCTTCCTAGGGCCCTTTTCTAATTGATAGGCTTTATTATATTCACAATCCTACATCCAATGTACATAACACACCTGTTATTCTAAAATGAATATTTTAAAATCAAACTAGTATTCATACATTTATTCATCAGCAAATATTTGTTGAGTACCACCTATGTGCCAGGCAGTGTTTTGAGTACTAGGAATAGAGGAGTGAACAAAATAAACAAAAATCCTGTGCTCAATGGAGCTCACCTTCTAGTTGAAATCTCTCCCTCTTTATTTTCAAAGTGCTTAATTTAATAAATGTTTGTTAAATGAATAATAAATAATATTTGGGATAATCTGTGAGAATCAGACAAATTATGCAGATTGTCTATGAGCCATATGGACTCTAAGACAAAATGTATGAATTTAATTAATCCTTGAATTTTACCTCCATTTCCTGTCAAGTCTCTTTTTCATTTTTGGCAGCCTGTTGCAAAATAAAATAAGATAATTCCTAGGAAGTGTTTCTCTGAAGGCACAGAGTAAAAAATAACAAGGCCAGGTGGGGTGGCTCACAACTGTAATCCTAGCACTTTTGGAGGCCGAGGCAGGTGGATCACAAGGTCAGGAGCTTGAGATCAGCCTGGTCAACATGGTGAAACCCCATCTCTACTAAAAATACAAAAATTAACTGGGTGTGATAGTGGGCACCTGTAGTGCCAGCTACTGGGAAGGCTGAGGCAAGAGAATCGTTTGAACCCAGGAGGCGGAAGTTGCAGTGATCTAAGATCGCACCATTGCACTCCAGCCTGGGCAACAGGGTGAGACTCTATCTCAATAAATAAATAAATAAATAAATAAATAAATAAATAAATAAATAACAAAAGAGAAAGAGGCTCTTATAAACAGAAAAGAAGGGACAGCCTGGTAGTGATCACCCTCATTCAGTGAAGTCCTACATTTAGAAACCTCGTGCCTCTATGCCAAGCATCAAATTTTTCAAGACCCAATAAAGTAGCATTTCAAAAACCAACACTAAAGGAATAAATAACCTGGCTGAACACTTACTTCAAGGAGGTTCAGAGATGACCCTCTAGAGCATAGCCTTGGGGGTTCCATGCTGGTGTACATTCATCTGGATCCAATGCAGGACTGCTGACCTCCAGTCAGTGGCAACTTCATTTTCATAGTGCCCTGGGTGGTGCAGTCTGAGGAGGGGTGGGTCAGACAAACAGATGTTTCATAATGCAGTCAGGTACAAAGCAAGCCCTTTGCCTCCGGGAAGTGAAGTTAAAAGGATAAGAGATTATGAGAGAAATCCACTATAGCATCAAGGAATGGTAGCAAATGCAGAAATGTGGCCATCAAAGTCCGGGTCATTAATAAAGCAAATCTCCAATGAAAAAAATGGATGAAGTCATCTTTCATGCTCTCTTTCTAAGCCAACTGAATGAAAGAAGAAAGGGATTTATTATTTTATCAGGAAATCAAAAAAAGAGAGAGGGAATAAAGAAACATCAGAATGACACAAGCATTTGCTAGCATAAATAATGCTAAATTCATCTCAAGGTAGCTTCCACTTAGAAGGCAAACCTATAATAAAAGGAATGAAATTGGTTTTATTTGCCATCAGTTAAGCAAACTACCATTTATATTATTACCAGCTACATTCATACCCAAAGAAAACAGCCGAAGCCAAACACAAGTTTTCAAATACTACCAAGGATATACAGGTAAAAAGATATCACAGGCCAGGAGTGGGTGGCTCGCACCTGTAATCCCAGCACATTGGGAGGCCAAGATGAGAGGATCAGCTTGAACCCAGGAGTCTGAGACCAGCCTGAGTAACACTGGGAAAACCAGTCTTTTAAAGAAAAAAAATTTCGCCACGCATGGTGGCATATGCCACAATGAGACAGAAGAGGCTGAGGCAGAAGGATTGCTTGAGCCCAGGAGACCAAGGCTTCAGTGAGCCGTCATCGAACCACTCCACTCCAACCTGGGTGACAGAATGAGGCTTCTTCTCCAGAAAGAAATCACAGAAAGTAAACTACAAACATGAACAAAAATAGAAAGTAGTTCTATGGGGTCCAGAATATAAGCTACCTCCATCATGAGGATAGTAGTAAGAGGTGTGTCCAAATCTTGATTCCCATCTTTGGTTATCCTCTCAAGGAGTCCCCTGCATGACAAAGCAGCTTGAAGCAGTTCTCTGTTTAATTAGAGGAATCCAAATACTGCAATAAGGAGCAATAGCTCTAAGATGCATATTAAAATAATATTAAAGACCATTGTAGCTTTTGTGAAGTGGCCTGTAACACGCAACTGAAACATCATGTACCAGAATGTCTCGAGAAGGAAAAATGGATAGGGAAACGGGGGTGCAGATGTATAAGGACAGCAGGCATAAGTGCCCCTTTTTTAATATTTTGTTGTCATTGTTGACTAACTCTAATCCTTTGCTTTTGAATATTTAAAAGTATTTTAAGGGAATTGATTCCACCTTCTGTTTCAAATTTTCAGTTCTCTCTCCTACTTCCTTTACTGGCTTTCCCTTCCTTTCAGTGCCGTTATTCTTCTTCTTTGCCTCAGTCTTCTCTGAACTGCAAAGTTCCAAGTTTCTGTGGCAGAGAAATAAATTAGGTGAGGAGGGGGAAAGAGAGTGTGATCAAGATTAGAGGAAGAACCATTTTAGCTTTCTTGATCCCTGGTTCTATCAGAACATCTATGTAACCTGGTGAATATCATTGAAGAATGTGGCAGACATGGAGGCTTAGGAAAGAAACTCTACCATTATAAATTCCAGCCAAGAAACATGTTAAAACATTCAGTCATTTATTGCACCCACATACAATCCACCATCTGGATTCACATTACATAAAAGCATACAGAAAGCTTTGCATGCCAGAAATCGAAGGTATGCATGAAAAAGATAACTAAATAACACCTAGCCAGTGACTGAAAAGCCAGTGTTGAAGATGGACAGGCTGTGTCTCAAACATTCTGATGGGAAGTGTGGCTTCTGAGAGCTCTTTCAGATGATTTGGAAAATGCATGAAGATTGTTCATCTTCACATACAACCATCATCGTTGCTGATATTACAGTGACCCAGGAAAGCAACCCAATACATTGAGTAGTAAATTTATACTCTCCATCTGTGAGTAAAATATAAAACAAAATATAAAAACAAATAAAACGATTATAAAGAATGACAATAAAGATACGTTGAAAGGCACCATTATTTTTATTACTAAGCTACCGAGGTATTGTGAATTGTTAACTCGCTTTATTTTCTTCCCTTGTGTCTTCATTTTTGTTCCATCTTCAACCTGCACCTCCCACTCTCCAACATTCAAGCACATAGATAATTTGTGTTTATGGTCTCTGAGTAGCTTTGGGGCAGGATGGGAAGCAGAAGAGGCCTGCGGGTCTTTTTCATTATTCTTCCAAAGTCTTAGGATAACATAAGTGCTTTTGTGAAGGAGATGTTTCTACACTAAACATTAAAAAAAATGTCATGATCAGAAATATAAATTGAAAAGGACTTTCACAAGTAGAGATTCCTCCTGTTCCAGGTTGGTAGCTGAGGGGAGAAGAGAAGGAGCATAAAGAAGGTCTACAGGTTCTGAGAGCAAAGCAAATGTGAGCCCATTCCTTGCCAGCACACTGGTTTAGCACCAAGACTCAGAGAGAGACAGGCTGCCTGCTGTGTCTAGGCTGATAGGAGTACAACAACCTCAGGACAAATTTTCAGCAGATAAAAATAAGCTGATCATCCTCCCCAGGAGATACACAAATTAAGGTTCTTAGCTTAGAAGCAAACTGCACCTGATTTGAGCAGAATTTGTTACCTCAAGCACACATGAAATTTACTGGAAGATTATGGGGAAACTCAGGGAATCAGAGGCAATAACTTTGGTAACCTGGGTACCTGAAAGTGCAGCACCATCCTCTCGAGGTGCTGATACTAGAAGGATCAAATCTAATCTTGTCCTATCGTTGAGTCACCCCTCACAAAATTTAGATTTCTGAAGGAGTTGGAGGACCTTTGCTTAGCTCTCTTGCTGAACCCTCAGCCAAGAAAGGTAAGACAATTTATTTCATAGTGCCATTATTTCATTGGAGGTAGGTAAGTCCTCAAAGGAAAATCAGGTGCTATTACAAAAAAAAAAAAAAGAAAAGAAAAAAAAGAATGGATGCTGGGTAGGTATAAAAAACATATGCCCACTGCAAATGGCCACTTCAGAGATACAAAAATCTCATATGTTTAATTACTTTTTAATACATTCCATGTGTGATAATCAATTGCAAGAAGTTGGAGTTCAATTTGTTTGAACACTAAATTCACTGTGTCATTCCTGCTTCCAACTATTTATTGGATCACTATTCCTTCCAGTAAAGCTCCAAATTCCTTCATATTTTTCTAGTCTCTGCCTGCTCAACCCTTGTCATCAATTCTCGTCCTTCCCTGCACCTACATCCCCATAATACGAAGGGATTTGCATTTCCTTGAACACATTATCCTGTTTCACATCTACGAATCTTTGCACATGCTGCTCTCTCTGTTCGGAATGTCCCTCCCTATTCCTTGTCTTCCTGGAGAACTTACTCAATCCAAATACTTCCTCTTTAGGGAAAGTTCTAGGGTACCCTTCTCTCCCTAACACTCCTTCCCCCACCACATTATTCTTCATCTCAGTATATCCACTGTATATCTTGCACATGCCTCTATTTTTTATTTTACTGTGTTGTAATTATTTGTTTATATGTTTGTCTCCCTTAAAAGTCTGTGAGCATTTAGGGATGGGTTCTGAAAAAATGGGTGTTAAGTGAATGAAAGAACTATGAAGTTTCTAATCAGGCACTGTCTTAGTCCATTTGTGTTGCTATAAAGGAATATCTGAGGCTGAGTATTTTATTTTATTTTATTTATTTTTGAGACAGAGTCTGGCTGTCACCCAGGCTGGAGTGCAGTGCAGAATCTTGGCTCACACGATCTTCCTGCTTCAGCCTCCTGAGTAGCTGGGATTACAAGTGCCCACCACCACCCCCAGCTAATTTTTATATTTTTAGTAGAGACAGGGTTTCACCAAGTTGGCCAGGCTGGTCTCAAACTCCTGACCTCAAGTGATCTGCACACCTCACCCTCCCAAAGTGCTGGGGTTATAGGGGTGAGCCACTGCGCCTGGTCTAGGTAATTTATTTTACAAAGAAGTTTATAGCCGGGCATAGTGGCACACACCTGTAATCCCAGCTACTCGGTAGGCTGAGGCTGGAAAATTGCTTGAACCCAGGAGGCAGAGGTTGCAGTGAGCCAAGATTGTGCCACTGCACTCCAGCCTGGGCAACAGAGTGAGACTCCATCTCAAAAAAAAAAAAAAAAAAAAAAAAGTTTATTTGCCTCATAGTTCTGCAGGTTGTACAAGAAGCATGGTGATAGTGTCTGTTTCTGGGGAGGGTTTCAGGCTATTTCCACTCAGAGAGGGCAAAGGGGAGCCAGCTGTGCAGAGATCACAAGGTAAGAGAAAAAGCAAGAAGAGAGAAGAAGGAGAGGCCACGTTCAAAAACCGGCTCTCCCAGAAACTAAGAGAGTGAGGACTTATTCATTACCATGAAGATAGCACCAAGCCATTCATAAGGGATTTACCCCCATGACCCAAATGCCTCCCAATAAGCCCTACTTCCAACACAGAATCAAATTTCAACCAGAGGTTTGGAGGAGTCAAAAAAACCAAGTTATAGGAGATACCAACATTCCCCAAGGGTCTGCCTTGCCTGGAATCATACATAACAGGTGTAGTAAGGAAGAATGTTTACTAAAGCAGTAGTTCACTACCAGGGGTATGCAGATCATCAGTGGGTAGGGACACATGGTTTCATTACAATTTCCAAATACTCACTCTCATTAATCCCCATGTTCACTTGCAAGCATAATGTACCATTTTCTGCCTCCCTTATTTGTCCATATTGTTTCTGCAAATTTTTATCTATCTTCATTTCAGATCTGTAGTGGTAAAATTTATAGTCCAAAATGTTGTAAGTTTTATTACTAATTTAATACTTGGTTTTATATAGCAAATCATTTCCTAGCATAGCCCCTAAGAATATGGGCTCAAGAGCCAGATGACGTGGGTGTCGATCATGGCTCTTGCTGCGTGACTCCTCAAGGTATTTTACCTCTCTGTGCCTCTGATACTTAATCTATGA